GTTGCCGTACTGTATTAAACCTTTAATCAGCTTTAAATAAAAATGGATATTAAAAGCTAACAGAAGCAGTAGCATTTACAAATAACAGCGTATCTAAAAGTATGAGACAACAACAAGCAAAAAACATAGGCCTACCATTAAAAGCCGTGCTTGCACAGGTTCTGCACGATCATCTTCAATAATATCCTCTGCTTCTCAATCGGGCTCAAACTGATAAGTGATATTAACAATGCCGCTGTTTACAATACAACCGGAGCACATGCCGCTGAGGTGAGGGGCGGGACGTTTAGACACTCACTAGAGGCGGTTTAGCCAATCACAACACACTGGGCTAGCTAACCAATCAGAGCCCATCGCCTATTTCTGAGGGCGGGGCTTCTTAAAAACAGGAAAAGATCATTACATTGATGCATAAAAGCATTAACACATGTTAGACTGCACCCCATAAACACAATCAAGCCTAGAAAAAAACCAGTGAACCACCCCTTTAATCATTTGATTTAGGGTTTTTATTTTTTGTATTTTCAATTTTCATTTTAATTTTAGTTTAGGCCTATATAATTTTGTTATTTTACTATTATTTATATACTATAATTGTATTTATTAATATTTTGAATGAGCTTTTATTTTTGTATTTTTAATTTTCTATTTTGTTATGTGCTTTTGTCATTTTTATTAGCTAGTTAATATTTCGATTCAGCTTTAATGTATTTTTTTTTTAAATAAACTTGTTTATTTCACTTAGTTGCCAAGGCAACATTTCTAAATTTTTAATCTAATATGTATATCTTATTTAATTTCAGCTTTACTACTTTTATAGTTTCTGTTAGCAGTAATAACACTGGCTTACTTGCATCCCTTTTAAAAGAAGCAGATCCCCTACCCTTTTAATTTGTGTCCAACTTTTTTGTGGACCAAACATCTGAAGCTCTTTTATTTTTTAAGGGCTGATTTAATTGAGAAGATCAAGGCTTTATTTATTTATTAATTTTTTTGTCCTGGACGGTCTATAAAAAGAGGCTGGCAAACGGTGTGTGGCCGAGCGTGCGGTCCATTTGCACATTAAAAAGGACATTCATCACAGAGCGTCAGTGCTGCAAGTCACCAGCCAGCTCTCGCAGGGTTTGGTGCAGGGCTGGGTGGAGCCAGGGCGCTGGTGCATGTCCTTGAGTGTGTGTTTGTGTCTGTGTGTGTTTGTGTGTGTGGTATAGGACCCACCTGGTGCAGTATTCGTGACACTCTCTCTCATTCACTCTCCGGGTTGAGGAATAGAGTTAGACACACATATAAACACACACACACACCTCTCGTCTTTAGGCGAGGAGGGTTTGCCACCACTCTAAGCCCAGGGCAGCCATTTAATACGACCTCTGTGTGTGTGTGTGTGTGTGTGTGTGTGTGACGGATGGACTGAGCTTGCACTCGGAGCCAGAGACGTTCGCCTGCTCCAGGACAGACGAGAACTCAGCGTGAGCTTGCGGAAGTGAGCTGCGCTCCGTCCGGGATGAGAGAGGCTCAAGGATGTGCCCTCTATCTCACTCACTTGCGGACTCTCTCTCGCTTAACGGCAAGGGGGACACTTCCTCCTTCGCTCGGCGCACACTAACACTGTCCTGGGAGACTAACATGCAACCCGTGATTAACCTGGAAGAGAGTTAATTTAGGATGAGGTAAGCTTGGGATATCACTGAACTAAATTGAAATCGAGCCCTCTTGAGGCTTGAAGTGTAAATGATCATTTTATTTGGTTAACATTTTTAAGTTTGTAACTTTTTTTGCAGCATCTTTAGTGAATTTCCACATACTGAAGGACGTTCCGTCCTGCTGGTTCTTGGCTTCACTGTTCCCATCTGTCTTGTGGTCGTAGCCGTTTTCACCGTGAGCCAGCATATTTCAGCTTTCGTGCTTCTAGCTGACATGTTTGGGGGTGTCACAGGCAGTGCCAGTGTAATCAGGTCGATAAGCATCTATGAGCCTTAATCAACATAGTGCACAGCGCGGCTGACTCACGGCTGGAGGAGGTGTCAGCACACTGGGCTGTGACTGCACTGGACGTCCTGTTTCTTGAGTTCGGTTTGGTGGCTCGTTGCCCATCATTTTAATAACAAAAGTGCTGTGATTGACACTCAATGCTCTTGCTTGTAAAAGCTTGATGTTTTTGATTTATTAGAATGTGACTCAGCTGAATGAGGTTTGTGCTGTTAGTCATCATTTGGTTTACCGCGTATCAACACCTCGACAACAATAGATATTATAGTGTACATTATATACACTACCGTTCAAAGAGTCTGTAAGATTTTTAATGTTTTTGCAAGAAATCTTTTCTGCTTTTACATTTATTTTTAATCAGAAATAGTAAAATCAGTAATATTGTGAAATATTATTACAATTTCAAATAAGTGTTTTATATGTTAAAATATAATTTATTCCTGTGATTAAAGCTGAATTTTCAGCATCATTACTCCAGTCTTCAGTGTCACATGATCTTCAGAAATCATTCTAATATGCTGATTTGCTGCTCAAAAAACATTTATTATTATCATCAGTTGTGCTGCCGAATATTTTCGTGGAAACTGTGATACATTTTATTTTTCAGGATTCTTTAAAGCATTGAAAGTTCAAATGAACAGCATTTATTTGAAATAGATTTTTTTTTTGTAACATTATAAATGTCTTTACTGTCACTTTTAATCAATCTAATGCATCATTGCTGAATAAAACTATTAATTACTTAAAAAATAAATAAAAATCTTACCCCAAACTTTTGAATGGTAGTGTATATAAATATATTTGACATTTGAACTGCTCTTTCACTGCATTTAAAGGGGCAGTTCGCCCCAAAATGAAAATTGTCACCAACTCACCATTTAGTTGTTCCAAAACTTCTTTTTTTTTTTTTTTTTTTTTTTTTT